CCCACTCAGGCCCTAGATGATGACCTAATTTCCACGACCTTGACCCTCGTTTGGGGGCTTTGATTGCATTGACACTCCAGTCTCCTGGTTCTCGCTGTTTTTCAACATTGCCTCTGCGCACATAAAGGCAAACACACTGCACTGGTAACTCTCCAAATGAAAATTATTATGAAACTGAACACTGTTCAGATGTTGAAGTCACATTTTTATCTTTAATGCATTTAGTAACATCAGATGAATAAAAAACAAAAAGGGTTTTTTTCAGGTGAGATACAGGATTTTGTAAAGGACTTCTGTTGAACCCATTTCTTATACCCAAACAACCATTTAAAGCAAGCTAAATTTGGACAAGATGTATAGGCCTTTACTATTCCAAGGAAAAGTCCTCTTTTCCTTTCAAGTTTAGCAGCCTGGGATTTCTAAATTAACATCTCATTATTATTACCACTAATTCCAGATTTTATAAAACCAGAAAAATACAAAAATGTACATTCACAGAAACTATCTAGAAGGATATACACAAAGTGCAATAGCTCCAAATTTAGGAGCATCTCCGCAAAGGAGCAGGTCAGAAGAGATCATGAGGCGGATTTTTCACTTTTTACAGCGCAACTTCTACATCTCAAGTTTTCAAAAACATTCACTCCAATTATTGTATAATGGCTTAAGACTATGTAAAATACAAGCAATAGGGGTGCCTGGGTGGCTCAGTGGGTTGACCCTCTGCCTTTGGCTCAGGTGATGATCTCAGGGTCCTGGGATAGAGCCTGGCATCGGGCTCTCTGCTCAGTAGGGAGCCTGAATCACTACCCCCCCCATCTCTCTGGCTGCCTCTCTGCCTCCTTGTGATCTCTCTCCCTGTGTCAAATAAATAAATAAAATCTTTAAGAAAAAAATAAAAATAAAATACAAGCAATTGCTCATTTAAAAAATGAGCAATTAAAAGGAGCTAAATGAGCAACTCTAATCTCATCTGAATTTTTACAATACTATGTGATAGGCAAGTCAGATAGTTGGCCCTTTCAGCAAATGAGAAGAAGGTTAAAAAAACTTTAACTTCTTCAACAAATCCATTACATTTTTAAAATGCTCTTCACTTTAGCCTTTAAATTATCTTTAAAAAGATAATTAAAAAGATTTAGCTGGGGCACCTGGGTGACTCAGTTGACTGAGCATCCAACTCTCAGTATTATTCTGGCTCAGGTCATGATCTCGGGGTGGTAGGATGAGCCCATGTCCAGGTCTGCACTCAGGAGTCTGCTTGAGATTCTCTCCCTCGTTGCACCCCCCCACCACAGTCATGCTTGTGTACACACTTGCTCGCTCTCAAATAAATAAATCTTTAAAAAAAAAAAAAAGTAAGATTTATCTGTAAAACTTTAAAACCAACTATATCTGATTCTATAGTTCTCCCAGAAAAATCAAACATATTTACTTAGTAGGGTTTACATATTTAAGAAACACAAAAATAATTATCAAATATAGTAAAGTCATATAAAACAAGAATTTTTTACTATTCTCCACCTTGCTTGAAACATTTAATGACTTCTCAAAGACATTTTATCCTAAAAGAGTAGCTCTAAAAAATTTGAATTTTTAGGTTTCAAGTTGCTATATAAATAGTTTACTCAAAATACTAGTATTTCCTTATGCAATTCTGAATTTAAAGGACTTGGGAAAATATAATTTATTACATACAGACATACTATCTATAGAAACAGGTCTACAGATTGGTTATACAGCTATAACTAGACAATTCAGAAAAGCTTGAGCCCTAGACTATAAATAACAGGTACAAAACTGACTCTAGTGGCCCAGAGTTCATCAACTATCTAAAAGGCATCATTTTATTTAAATAAAAACTTTTAAAAAGTTAAATAAAAGGCATAATTTTACAATCCAGGATAGAGCATGCTTGAGGAAATTATTACAGTAGTTAAGACAGTATTTTTTTCCCCAAACAGCCAAAATGCAAGGAAAAAACTAACCAAATGCATACCTAGTACATGAGTGGGGAGACTATTACTTCATCTGCATACATACACAGAACCAAACAGATAACAAAGAATTTGATTTATGTGGTAATATAGAAAAATTTTTAAATATTCACTTAAAAAACTTCTGACTGGTCACTGACTATAATCTGCATTCTGTTCTTTTTTTTTTTTTTTTTAATTTGACAGAGGGGGATCACAAGTAGGCAGAGAGGCAGGTGGCGGGGTGGGGGGGGGGTGGGAAGCAGGCTCCCCGCTGAGCAGAGATTTCCCCCCCTATGCGGGGTTCTGGATCCCAGGACCCTGAGATCATGACCTGAGCTGAAGGCAGGGACTTATTAACCCACTGAGCCACCCAGGCGCCCCTGCACTCCATTCTTTAAAAAAAAATCTACTCAACACAATATTCAACGCAAGATTTAACTTTATGTGCTCGCTCACACATTATAACATATTTAGCAACTGCATTTCACACAAGTTTAAGTTCAGTAACTTTGAAGTTTGCCAAGTAAAGTGTGAAAATTACTGGAATGCAAGCAATGCACCTTCAAGAGAAGCAATTCTTCCACTGATCTGCAATAATCAACTGTGTATTGAGAGGTTACTCTGTGCCAACTGCTGTATTTTAATAAAGTAACACGGTTAAATTTAAAACTACAGGCTGAATACTGATTGAAAAAAGGCAGTCCTACAAAGGATTAATACATAAGATAGGTTAATTTAAAGTCAATTGTTTAACTCATTCAAAACAGAATTCATAGTTGATGAAATTACAATTTCAGAAGGACCAAGCTATGGAGCTCTCATGCTGAGTAACATCAGAAAGATTTACTAAAAATAAACATGAATGCATTCAATATGTCATTTAATTCATACATTTTTAACTTCAAAAGTATCCCCAAATGATCCTCTTCCATCTCAAATAATGTACATTAAAATGTTTAATAACTGAATCCCAAAAGGTACCAACACAAAAACACAAAACCATATTTATTTAAGGTAGCTAAATATTGGCTACTATATGACATTCAGTCAGTAACACTAGTAAGCCAACACAAAGTAGAAACTGTTAATTCATATCACCTAAGAAGTCATGCTGAAAAAATGTTTTCAGAAAATAAAGCAGTCTTTATTCTTAAAACTCACCATAATATATTCTTTGCAAATTAAAGATACCTAGCGTCTTCTCCAAAATTCAAGAATTTTTTTTTTTTTCGAAATGTTTAAGTATGTCGCAGTTTGTCTCCCCACACCAACCATCTAATACCCATCCAGTTTGGTGCTTCACCAGAGCACCCCTAACATTCACAGGTTTTATCTTGAGGGGGTAATTAAGAGGGTTTCCCATAAATAAAAGTTCTACATGTTCAGCAGCACAAATCTCTCACACATGAATTCAACTCAAATGCTGTGAAACTAAGTGTACTTTTCCCATTTTTTAAAAATTATTAATCCCATGAAAACCTTCAAAGTGCTTACAATTTTAAAGCTGATTGCACATATTTGCAAGAAAACCATTAGGTTTTGATCAGTGTTCTTAGTTTTGAAAGATGCTTTAAAAACTTTGTAATTTCATCAGCTTAAGTCTGAACTCACAAGAGGCACATTGGAAGAGACATGATACCAAACAGGGGCAGTAACTACACAGCATGCATCTACCATGGGGAATGCCCAAGGATTCAACACAGCCAAGGGAAGAAGCTATAGGCTTCTATCTGAACAATGATTCCACTAAAATAAAAAAGTAAAATGTCACAGCCCTAACCCTCCACTTTCTCATTAGTATAAAGATTCTTAAAAGCCATGAGAGAAATCCTTAAGAAATTAAGTGGTTCAGTTACAAACCATAATTTAAGAGCATTTCAAATTCAAAACAACTTTCCTTAGAAAACAGGACAAAATTTTACCAAAGAAAGCCCACACCTGACCAACAGTAAGAACATATGTAATCCAAATGGCAATATTAAAGTTTCCATTTAACCCATTAACCATACTTCAGAAAGTTCAGTGTTAATAAACAAAATATTTCATTTAGTTTTTCAACTTGAATTATTTCCACATGCTTGTTTTAAATTCTGCGCACAGCCACTGAATATTTTCTCCTACTGACTTCTTTTAAGTTGAGTACACTTCTGATATGTGGCATCCCATTTCAATGCTAACCCTGAGAACTGAGAATTAGGTTAAATATTTTACACCTAATTTTTAAATTAGGGGAGTAACAGATTTGAATTAATCTCCCTTAAATAAATGGCCTATTACAGCACATTAATTCCTTCCTCACTTCACTATTGACTTAATAAAATCCAAGTCTTTCACCTCAACAGCAGCAAAACAATTATTCTAAATAAAATAAAATGATTGGCAAATGCTCCACAAAGCTGGAATCAAATTGCTTTGAAACTGAAACACACATATGTATACAATGCAAAGCAATTTTGAGAAAAAATTAAAAAATACCCCATGGAAGAGCTTAAATCTATAAAATTTAAGAACCTTTTTATCAAAGTCACAAATTATGTCCTGAATTGATCTGCCAAAGTCCAACACAGAATTTATACATACAATGAAATAAGCTTGAGAATCTGTTGTGATTTAACTCTATGATCTATTAGCTTAACGGAGAGCTTGAATAACAGATTAAGATGGCAAAGCAATTTTCTAAACTAAAACGTACCTGAGTATCTAAAAAGGTTTTACATAATCCCTAATGACATATCCAAGGTCCACGATTAGGCCAAGTGTACACCTTTAAATTCATTTCACAGTTCTGTTTTATGTATGTCAAAGGGTCCACGCCAGAAAAATTCATTACTTCTCTTCAGCATTAACACTGAAACTGTGAGAGGCTCATCAAAACATTACTCCCAGGTTAATCAATTTCAGCTGTTACTTGATGTTAGCATCAAAATAATTTATGAAATAAAAGAAGTTTTTAATAACAAAAAGAAAATCCCCAAGAAAAAGAAGAATTTTAAAAAGAAAAAATTGTGAAAGGAAGCTCACCTGCAGTTAGGTGGAGGGTCTAAAGTGATGTCTGCCAGTTCCTTCTGAATCCTGGAGTCAGGGAAGTGAGAGAGAAACACAAGAAACATGAAGGCGTTGGTAGCCTCCCACCGGTAACGCATAGGTCTGGCAGATAACCCTAACTGCCTGCCATGATAACTGGGTTCTACTGAGGGAGAAGGAAACTACACATCAAAAGCTTCAGGCCCATAGTTTAGGAAAAAACTTCTTTCCCACGGGCAGTGAGCTGGCGGTCCGGGGTCTCCTGCTGTTATCTAAAATGTTTCGGTTCCAGTCTTGCCTCGCATACTGAGGCAGTTGTATTTCTCGGGGTTTTCCATTTAGGAAATCATTGTAAAGCTTCGCTTTGGACTCGTTTCCTAAGTTGCATTAGAATGTGCCAGGACACATTCACTTCTGCGCTGCACGTCTTCCCTGGACGGAGAAACCCAAGCCGCCGCGTGGGTGGGAAGGGTGCGCCCCCAATCTCCGCCCGGGTCACCCCCCCACTCCGGGCACCTCGGATGCCCTCCCCGCCGCCTCGGCAGGGCGCCCTCCCCAGGCCGTCCCGCGTCCTCAGTGACGAAGCCAACATGGCCGCTCCCCGCGAGGCCCCTCGGGTCCTGACTGACCTGCCCCGCGTCGCGGGGTGCCGGCGCAGCGCAGGCCGCAAAGCCGAGCCCCTGCTCGGCTGCCCGGGCTCCCCGTCCCCAGCCCGCGCGCGCCCGACAACTCGGGAGGCGCACGCCAGACCCGCGGGTGAAGTTGCGGACCAGGGGTGGCGAGAGCCCGCGCCAGGACGCACAGCGACTCCCCACTCGCCTCCACTGCGCCCTGGGACCTCCAGCTCTCACGCCGCGCGCGGACCCCTGGGCGCCAACACTCCCGCCTGCCCCTCCAGCGAGACCGGACACTAGCAGCCGGCCCGCACAGGTGCACCCAGCCTCAGTCCCGCACAGCGCTCGCACTCTAGCCTCCCCACCCCGCCTTTCCGGACCTGCTTTTTCCTGGATATCCTCTAAATTCTCTAAGATCTGCTCCCTTCCTTCTCCATCTCAGCATGGACACAGAACCCGGGACAATAACCACCACCCCCCCCACGACCCCCGGCCCATTTTCTATCTTCGTACCAACCCACGACTTCACAAAGAGCCCCTCCCCCACTCCTAGGCCGACGCCACCAAGCAGTTCACACCAAGCCCTGGCCTTTGTCTTCTGCTTACCTAGGCGCTTAGAGCATCAATTAATAAGACAAAGTTTGAGACCTTTAAGCCTGGGACATCTACTAAATGGTGCCTTCTATTTTTATAACCTTTCTGGCTCCTATCACATAAAACCCCAAAGGGCTACGGTACAACTTAAAAAAAAATCTCACGGAGGTAGAACGGTAGTAAAAAACTAAACACACACACAGTCTAAAGGCAATCAGAATCACAATGGTTGCTTTTCTCTTTCCAAAGGTTCTCTGAGGGTGGGAAGATAGGCTGGGTAGATGCAATGGGCAGTAGGTTTTAGAAGGCATTGTTTTCTCCATGTGTAAGTAAAGAGAAATTAAGGGTGGTTATTAGGGAAGTTCTTTAGACCTTCCTATTGGAGGACACTTCCTGCCCCCTACAAATCTGGTGAGCTTTAGAAAGCGGTTTGATCACAGCCTTTACAGACATCTACTTATCTGTGTCTTGCTAAATTCTTTTGCTACCAATAAGCGTTTCAGTTTTGAGACATTCCCAAACACCCGGGCTGTTTGACTCATTACTATGTTGGACTAAAAAGTTTGGAATCCTGGTTTCCTGATTCTTTATGTGCATGTTAGAATGACTATACCTTAAGACCTATGTACATAGGCAAAAATATCCTCCACCTGAGCACAACTTGTATAAAAACACATATGACTTCACTTCTTGCAAATTCAACCTCTACTATATTTACTGAAAAGGTGGCTACTTCTTTAATACCTAAAAAGTATACTACCAGTTTTAACCACTTCATCTTTACAACTAACTGACAAAATTTTTTGTCAATACTGACAAAAGATTTGTACAAGTAACTCATACATACGTTTCACGGAATAATTCTTGTCCAGACCACTCTCAATGGGAGCTTTTCATCTACCCATGGACTACAAACGAAACCACTTTCCAATATGCAGTTAAGTAACTTTATGTCTACCAATTCAGGCTTTTTTATTCTGTTTCCCAGTATATGGGCCCTTTCCAAGTCTACAGCAACACTCAGCTTCCAAGTCAACGTATTTCACAGAGCAGCTTTAATAGGGTCCCACTAACATTAATTTCCCCCTTATTCTTTCCAGGATACGCTGCCCCTCTCCCATTTTTTGCCTTCTCTATTAACCTTAGCTCTGCTTTAACACTAACAGCCACTCTTTCCACAAGATATTCAAGGAGCGAAAACTGATGTTAACTTTATACGTAAAATTACCCCTTGTAGCTTCCCACCTTTCATTTTTTGTACACCTACTAATCTCTTTCCCAGGAATTTTCAAATAAGTTTTTAAACTTCCTTAGCATAAATGGACAAACTGTGTGTAATGAAAAATCTCCCTCAGTAATTTGCTGACACAAAGGAAGACTATTTTATATTCGACACCTGTGCTTTTACCCCCAAATATATTCATGTGCGCCAGTGATATCCTGGTACACAAAAAACACTAATAATCTTAAAGCAAATATCCTGCCTTACTCAGGTCAGCCCCAAAGCTGTCCCGGCATGGATCAGGGGACACAGGTACTGCAGGTCAGGGTAGTGAGGGGTAGGGAGTTGGGGAGATTAAGGAAAGCCCTATCCAATGTGAGCAGGGGAGATGCCAGGTTCTGGACTAATCAATGAGGGCCAGTTTGGATTCCTGGGAAGCCGAGGGGCCATCAAACCACCTCTCCAAAAATAAGTAGAATCTTGCTAAGGTATCTTGCCATTTAACTCTAAACCTCTACATTCTTTAAAACAAGCGAACATCTCTCCTTCATTCCCCCCATGGTTAGGTCACCAAAGCACTTCACCAAATTTTCAAATTTCTGGAAAAATGACAGAACAAACTTTGACTCTGAGTTCCGGGCTCACTACTCAGTGGAAACTAAAGACTCACATTCTGTTTTATTTTACGTTCCTTTAAAAAAGATACCCCTATTTAACCCACCATTTGTATTCCTTACTGTCTTCCTGGTTTGCCACCTTAAAGTTTAATGACTGTCCACCTGAGAGCAGCAGGATTTATGAAAGGGCGCGGGGTTTCCCTGGAATCTGCTATAGATTATTTTAAGGGTCATGGAGATCAGAGAATATTACTGAAGGATGCCTGAGGTAAAAAAGTAGGTTCTTTCAGAAACTAAGAGGAAAATAGTAAAGAAAAAAGAACCACTGCTTGAATTCAGCTTGGGAAAAGAAAAATTTTTACAGCATATGAGAGAATGTATCATGAAAAAAGTGAGTCTCCCTTTAATTTGGCAAAACTGAAGTTTTTAAAGAGAAAAAGAGAATCCCCCAGACAACCTACAATACCCATTTTACATCATTTATCAATTCATTTGCCTCAACTCTCCAAATCAGAAGAATCTCTTTAAGTTCCATCTGAAAACACCTGTTTTCACCTATTAAAATTTTTACCCCACTAACAGGAGTTATTCCTTATGCAGTTTGCGGAGAAAGCTCCACTCAAAAAAGATCACAGTGCAACAGGTGAAGAGGAAGCAAGACGGTAACCGAATTCATTCTGATAGAGTTGTCTGGACAGGTATTAGTAATTAAGTGGGATGACAGCCTTGAGAAGGGTGACAAGCTCGTGATTAATAGGACAAGTAATTTGAAATCAGATTTGGGGGTCACTAATAAAAGTAATGAGGATTCTTACAAACTTTAGCAAGAAATGAGAGAGGCAAGCCGCAACAGCTGCACGTGGGTAACTATTAAAAGGGAAAAACCAGAAGCAATAGAGTAAAATAATTAAAGCTTCCACGTCCCTTTTTTTCATTTTTAACAGCACGCAAACCATGAGGAGCATTCAAGCTACCCCTCATTGGGAGGCAGACCAAATGAAGCAGCAAGAGGCAGTTCGGAAAATAGGAAGCCTAGGAGGTTGGGGGTGGAGTACGGTACCTCTTGGCGCTGGTAGAGAGGAGTTTGGAGTTTTTGCTCATGCTGACTTTACTCTCCTTCTTCTTGGGGGTGTTTGCTTCTTTCTCGGTTTGCTGGTTGGAGGACGAAGATGAGGAGGAGCTCGTGCTGGCCCTCGAATCGTCATCCGACATAGCGAACCCCCCACCCCACCCCGCAAACAGCCCCTGCAGGGGGAGAGAAACAAAACAGAAACACACAGACCATGCAGTCAGTGTAAATAAGGAACTCGGGTGCTGTCAGAAGGGCTTTGGCCAGGGGTGCACCCGGCCGCCCACCGCCCTCCACTCGCTTTTCCAAGTCTTCAGGCCCATTAAGGCTTTAGCAAATCCGACGCGGCTTATTTTTGGCCCCAAGTGGGGGACGCGGTGGGAAAACCAGAACGAGCTCAGCGAGCGGCCCCTCCCGCGCCCCCCGGGGCTCCCCTCGGGGCAGGGAGGGGAGAAGCCAAGCAGGCTGAGGGCAGGGTGGGGGCGCCGAGCGCCTCGGCGGGGCAAGGAGAGAAGGTCCCGGCGGTGTGCTGGCCTCGGGGCTGTTTCAGTGGGCTTTCCGGGGGTCGCGGGGGGCCACTGATCAGGGCGAGACAGCGGGGGCCAGGAGTGGAGTTTGGCGAGATCGGGAAAAGAGAAGGGGAGGAGAGGAGTAAGAGAGGAAGCCGAAACGGGGGGACGGAGGCGGGGAGCGGGTGCCCGGGTGGGGGAAGGGAGAGGCCGGCGGGGGGGGCAGGGGCGACGAGGCCCGAGGCCCCCCAGCGCCGCGCCCCGACGCCTCTCCCCGCAGGCCTGTGGCTTGGCCGCCCGGCCAGGGCTGCGCGACTGGGGCGGGGGTCCCGAGCACACGCCCGACAGCCACCCCTAGTGGGGGTGGGGCGAGGGTGAAGGGGGGGGCTCGGCCTCCACAGCGGAGGAATAACAATGAGCCCTTCCGCCCCAGAGGGGTTAATCCCCGCGGGCCCCCGCCCCGGGGGAAACGGGGCTCCCCCGCCTCCCCCTCCCCCGCTCCCGACCCCCTCAGCGGCCAGTGGGGGGCTCCCGGGGCAGCGCTGACAGTTCGAGCCACAATGCCCCCCCCATCCCCGATGCGGGCGGCCCCCGCACCCCACGCGGCCCGGGGTCCCTACCCATCCCCCGCGGGCGGGCCCCGGACCCCTGGGGCTCCTCGGCCCCTCTCCACCCCCCCTCAGCCCCGTGCCAGGCGGCCCGGGAGGCGCGGGTCGGGGGAGGCGGCGAGGGGTGTCCCCGAGGCCCGGCGACGCGGCCGGGGGGCGGCGGGCGGCGGGGGGGATCCCCGTACCTCTCTTTGTGTCTGGCTCCTCCGTGCCGCCGCGGCGGCTGCTGCTGCGGCTGCGGCTGGGCCTGGCCACTCGTGTCTCTCTCTCGCTGGGAGAGAAGCGGAAGTGCAGCAACAGCAACTATTAAACAGGCAATGGCTTCCCCCAGCCACACACGCTCGCACATACACTCCTCCTCCTCCTCCTCTTCGCCCTCACCCCTCCCCCACCCGGCCCGGTCCCACCCACCCGCGCTCCCCTCCCCCTGCACACCTCCGGGGGGGCGCGAGGAGGACACAGGGGACCCCGGGAAACCCTCCCCCCTCCCACCCACTCCCCCACCCCAGCGCCGCCGCGGGACGCCAGAGAAGGGGCGAGGGGTGGGAATTTTCTCTCAAGTGGTTTGGGGACCTGGATCCTGGGCTGGAGAGGGCAAGCCGTTCCGAGATGGGGGGCGCTGAGAGCGATAGGAACTGTATGGAATAGGGCGGTCACGAGAGGAAGTTCTTTCCAATAAGGGCTTTTGGAAAGGGGGGGGACAAATTGGTGGGGAAGGTAGTAATTTGGTGGGAAGGACTTTGGACCAGAGAATGCAGTGGAAACTCCCCCTAAAAAGTGATCAGTTTAAGGGGAAAAAAGAAATCCCACAACAGGGTTTCCCTTTGAGCTGACACTGGCTTCACCCTCTGGCAATTTACCTGCTAAGAGCAGAGGTCGGTTTAGGCACGCCTGGGAGAAAAATCTCAAAGTTGAAGTTTTCTGCTCAGGCACGTGCAATTTTACAATTTTAGATTCTTTTAGTCACTTTTCATAAAAAGTGGTGGTGTGTTGTAAAAGTGATACAAAGGATTCGTGACAGGTAAAACCAACGTGTATCAGCCTTACAAATTGTGAGAAATCACTGGGAAAAGAACCCTTTGCTACTGAATTAGACTGGATTTAGAATTTTTGGTGTCAGTTTACTTTAAATAGAAAGTTGGATTTTGAAAATTAGATCAAAAGTTTTGAGACTATGGAACCTGCTTCAACAATAATATAAATGCTATTCAAATAATATTTTTAGAATAATCACTCAGTAATTCTTATGAATTGTTCCCTGTGTAGCACTTTTACCAAGGTTAAGATTAAGCCATCAAAAAAAAAAGATGAATGCATCAAATTATGATTTAGTTTCTCACTTATCATTTCAGTTGAAGGAAACTGAATATGTATGTGCAATGCCACATATATAGGGTCTGGTACATTAAGGAGCCAGTGAGAGATTTCCATGGGCACTCTAAATTATCTCGTTCAAATTGCCATCCTTTTTCATGGCAACACTGGCTTCAGTTACCATAGGGCAACACAACAGGTATAAAGCTTATGGCAAATCCACTAAGCAGGAAAACAAGCATTCTTACCACCCACCTGAAACCCTTCTAGCCCTCAACATTGAAACTCCAACTTTATCAGGACTGAGAAAGTAATTGGGCATGCTTCTTAATCCTTAGCAGGAAACCTGTATCTACTGAGAATTGCCAAGAATCAAGAAGTGGAAAAAAACTTTATAGGTCATCATATCAGCCTCCAGCCTCCTACCTTCAGACAGAGCTATCCCTCAGTCACTCAAATGCATAGAAATTTTGAAAGACCTCCACACATAGCATTTGGTTTCAGGAGTCCTGATGGAGCATATATATATTTTTAAATGACATTCTCTGCTCTATGTTATTTGAAAACCACCACCAAAAAAATCTCTCTAAAACCAGGTTGTAGGGCGCCTGGGTATAAAAATAAAATCTTTTAAAAAGGTATATTTTTTGTGCTTCTAATGAAAAAGATATAAATTCAAAAGAAAACAATAAGCAAGTATGAAATAAAACTGAGTTGGAATAAAGGAAATAAAGTTATTACAATTGAGACTTTCTCTTACAAAAATTTGAGTTTCTGATACTTTAAAATACATGTACACACTATGAGTACAACCAGTAAAAATCATGTATGTATAAAGAAGAGAGCTGACAGAACACAGGAAAATAAAAGGTTTGATTTGTTGATATGACTAGGACAGTGGGTGAATTTTTTCTTCAATTTTGGTTTGCATATGTCGCATACTAGGATACTAAATATAATAATATCTAAAGAAAAAAAATCCTGAACATGGTAGTTTGTGTTTATTGTTGATGCTTAGGTTGGATCTGTCCCTCAGAAAATAAATCATGTAATCGAAGGGCTCCTCCTCCAGAAGAGAAGTGTTTTCCCAACCACCAGTCTAGAAGGATAGTAGCCCTCTTTTGTGTACAGGCCCTTATCTCTAACCTTGATTAGTGCTTTATGGTTTGAGAATGACCTATTGAGGGGGAATAAAAACCTCAAAATGTTTAGAAAAGAATTAACTGCTCTCAAAAGACTAATCGTTACATCAGATTATTTTAAATATACAGTTGTCTCAGTCACAAAAAACTAAAAATTCATTTGCAACCTTTCAGTTTTACTTATTAGCTACAAGGCCTAAGGAGTTAAATTGACCTCCCTGAGCCTCAGTTTCCCTGTCTCTAAAGGGCAAGACTATCTGTGCTGCACTGACGGGCAGAGCTGTTAGAAGAGTCAAATGAGGCTCTATGATAAAGATGGTTTGTTAACTGTTATGCAAAGTAAATTATTAATAATCCCACCCTGATACTAATTCTCAGGAATTCTGTTATGACACGGAGCCTTTATGACTTAGAATTGATGACAAATATAAAAAGCCTCCTATGAGAGAGTCAAGGAACCATAGAATTTTATTTACTAGAAGGGGCCTAAGATATATTCAAGTTCAAATTTCTAGTGTTATAGATGGAGAAATTAAGGCAAAGAAAGCCTGATATGTCTTGTTCAAGGTCATGCAGTAAGTTGGTGGCAAAATTGTGGCTATCGCTCATGCTGCCGAGAGATGATATGGGGGGGGAGAAGAGGGGAAAGCCTCAATTACATTAAAAAATATGTATTAAGGGGCACCTGGGTGGCTCAGCATCTGCTCTTGGCTCCTGTCCTGATCCCAGAGTCCTGGAATCAAGCCTGCATTGGGGCTCTCTGCTCAGCGGGAAGCCTACTTCTGCCTCTCCCTGCCTCTGCGGCTCCCTCTGCCACTCCCCCTGCCACTTCCTCTACTTGTGCTCTCTCACTCTCATTCACTCTCAAAATAAATAAATAAATAAATAAATAAATAAATAAATAAAATCTTTTAAAAAGGTATTAAATATAAAAGAGCTCTGGGGGTGCCTGGCTGGTTCAGTCGGTGAAGCAAAAGACTCCTGATCTCAGGGTTGTAGGTTCAAGCCCCACATTGGGTGTAGAGATTACTCAAAAATAAAATCTTTTTTATTTTTTAAAGATTTTATTTATTTCTTTGACAGAGATCACAAGTAGGCAGAGAGGCAGGCAGAGACGGAGTGGGGGGTGGAGCAGACTCGCCGCCCAGCAGAGAGCCCGATGCGGGGCTCCACCCCAGGAACCCGGGATCATGACCCAAGCCGAAGGCAGAGGCCTTAACCCACCGAGCCACCCAGGCGCCCCAAAATAAAATCTTTTTTTTTTTTAATTGGGTAATATTTTCGGGGCACCTGGGAGGCTCAGTGGGTTAAAGCCTCTGCCTTCGGCTCAGGTCATGATCCCAGGGTCCGGGGATCGAGCCCCACATCTAGCTCTCTGCTCAGCAGGGAGCCTGCTTCCTCCTCTCTGCCTGTTTCTCTGCCTACTTGTGACCTCTGTCTGTCAAATAAAAAATAAATATAAAAAAAAAAAAACTGGGTAATATTTTCAAGAACATATTAACGATTGGGTGCCTGGGGGACTCAGTTAAGTGACTGCTTTCAGCTCAGGTCATGATCCCAGAGTCCTGAGATGGAGCCCCATATCCCTGCTGAGCAGGGAGCCTGCTTCTCCCTCTCCCTATCTGCCACTCCCCCTGCTTGTGCTCTCCTGCTCTCTGTCAAATAAATAAATAAAATCTTTTTTAAAAAATAACATATTAACAATCAAGACAGATGGGAAAGTGGAAAAAATGGAAGCAAGTTAAAAGAATCACTACTTTGACAACATTTACTTAACACAATGACCACTACTGAAGTTCCTATTCCCCATTCTGAGAAAAAAATCATCATTGTTTATTTATTTTATATTTTTGGATATATTTTAAATAGGTAATACAGTCTCATGCTATGTCATTTTTAAAGAAATCAAAGGTATGCCAGGAAATATCTCTCTGCCACTCCCCCAACTCTGCGGAGGGCTGTGCTTAAGCAAGCAAATGCATACAAATACACTGGATGCTTTGGTAGGAATTCTCAATTTACATTT